AAATTTTTTTTATTTGTTTGCCTGCGACGTAAACACTTATAATATTACGATCATCGCCAACATAAATAAATTTTTGCACCATTTCCAGCAGTTGAGCTTCGCTAGATTTTTCCGCATCAACAGTAACATAGTTCCACAACGGATATTTGCTCGTATCGACAATCAATGCATCGAAATCTTTACCCACCATGAAATTTCCAGTAACATCGCCCAACGCCAGTGCTTCAGCGCCACCAAGTGTTGCCAAGAATATAGCTTGTTTGTAGTTGAGTGGTCGATATTCATTATCTTGAGCATTTAGGCGACCACTGCCTTTGATCTCCTGCTTCTTCACAAATTCCAGATGGTGGGAAACATCCAAAGCACGCAATATGGCATCTTTTATGGACATCGAATTTCCACCCGATACGTCTGCATCACAAAACACATGTACATACATAGATAAAATTTAATTTTATTGGGTAGAAAGTCGAAAGGTAGCACCTGTGCCTAAACCAACTTTAACGCCATTTTTTATTAGTCGCATCACATCACAGAAACCTGAAGATAAGTTTGTATTAGAGGACGGGCAATGGGCAACCGAAGTACCGCGCTCACGAAAAAGCGCGACTTCCGCATCCTCTAGATGTACAGCATGCGCCATAACAGTCTAAAATGAACATACACAAGCACATTTAATGATTTGCTTGCATTTTTTTGTATTTGCTAATTGTATTTTTACTAATTTGCATTTTTATTTTGTATTTTTACTAATTTGCATACCCTCAGAGTTTTAGGATTAGATACCTACCTTCGGTGTCAACAAACCCGCATTATCATATGCCTCTGCATAGCATGAATTGTAGATCGATTTGACATATTCAATTTCCGCCAAATTTTCGCTAATGTGGCTCTAGAAAATCGGGTAAACATATTAAAATAAAAACATTTAAAGATTTAATATGAGCAAAGAATCTTAACAACTTAGGTGACAACAATAGCATCTTAACGTACCGCAGTCTAGAAACGTGATCACCTACCACAGATGAACAGTATTCATACAATATCATTATTTACCTGAATATGCAAATCATTTTTGCGTGCTATTTCACCCAGCTTTACCATTAATTCCTTTGTGCAGCTCAATGCAAATCTTGGTGTTATTATAGGCTTTACCAAATCTGTCTTTAGTTTTTTTATCTCATTGACAAATTCCTCTGTATTCGCTGCTGATGTTTCCGTTGTTTCACTGAAAAAAAAAATATATACATATATCGCATACAGAACTCTTTGGTTTAGATTGTGATTGTTAATTATACATACACATAAAAGTCGGGGCTGTTGCAATTCGAGCAAACTTTGCCAACTAATGCTCGTTGGCCCTGTCGCATTGCCTGCTTGGATAATATTAAAGTACTATCTTTGTTATTGCTACCAAAGTAAGACGCGAGAGTGGTACCTGCTCTAATTGTGTTTTCCTAAGTGGGGAATGAAAAAAAAAACATTGAATAATTTCCCAAAAGCTTTTATTTTACGCGTTGATTCTTATCAATTCTCTATCTAAAGTTAGTTTTATTGCATATGAAACCATAAACTAGGTATACATAGTATATACTATATACATATCGTTACCTTAATATATAAGGAAATCGGTAGAATACTCACTAAGGACCTAATATAAACTAAAACCAACTATCACATCAATAAATTAGTTTCAGTCTTTATTTAAAACCAATGTTTTTAAGAAAATTACAATTGAATAACTTTAGATTTTATTAAATTTTTAACTACTCTGTGAAGAAGCAAAAATGATAGATAGATAGGGATATGTATGTATACTTACCACAACTTTAGTGTACACATTCGCTGCAAAATCTTGATCATCATATTTCGCCTCCAACGGGAACGTATATGTATTCAGCCAGTCCAATAAGGGCATATCTAACCCAAGTCCGATTTGTGCTACCTGAGGCGCATGAATATGGCAGTCCACAAAACCAGGCATAACAAACTGGTCTGAAGTGAGATTTTCCACACTTGTACCCTTAAAACCGGCGTTTTTGGCAAGCCACTCGCAGTAGTCGCTCTCGTTTCCTATACCAGCGATCTAAGAATTTTCAAAAATATAACTGTTTTATTCAACAATTTTATTGAGCTTGAGGCCGTTTCTAATGAAAAATGTTGTGGAAAAACTTCAATAATTTCTTTGTTAGTATTTAATTGTAGCTTATGTCGAAAGGCTTTAGTATAATGCGGCATTAGCAGCATACGATTTGAATGACTCACTTGTGTCGAGCCGTTGAAGAACTTTTGGCAAATAAATGTGCAAGAAATAGTTGCGATACTAGCAAGGCAATAATATTATTAAACCTCATCAAAAAATTCCTTATCGTTTAAATAATAAAAGGAATGCCGCATTATACTAAAGCCAGCTTCCCGACATAAGCTACTATTCCACAGGGTAGTAGTTATAGCTGCTCTTTCGGAGATCACCACTACTCCTCATTAGATTTGTTCATCGAGTTCCTTAGAATTATTCACAGCCCGCTGGACTTTTCTAAAAGTGACCGCTACTAGACATTTTCTGTTGTTGTTGATGTTGTTGTTGTAACAGCATACAAATCCCCAAAGAGTATTTGGGGAGTGTTGCTGGAGTGACAGCCCTTGGCCAGATATAAATCTGGCTCGTTCCGGTTACGTAGACACGACTGTCGTGGGAACGAGAAGTCGAGTTAGAAGTCTTTAATAGGAAACATCTGTATGACATGGTTACCAAGGTCATTGTCAACTATATGTTGTTTTGGATTCACAGCAAGTGCGAACATGTCACTAAATCCTCATTAGTGACGATTTACGCTACTAGGATATTATCAACGGCCGAAACAACTTCAGCGGGTGAGTTTTAATAAATGTACATACATATCGACAGCTGAACCTGTTTCAAAACTTTTGAAGAACGCCCTATTTCAGAATTCGGTTAATAAACGCCCTATATCCGCAGCCGATTCATAACCGCCCTATCTCAGCAAATTTTTAACCGACTTCAAAAAAGGAGGAGGTTATCAGTTCGTCGGAATATTTTATTTTTTATGTATCTATGTATACATATGTATATGTTACCGCATAACTTTAGACCACGTTAACAGATTTCGATAATTCTTTTTTCAACGGAAAGGTGATCTCAAGAGTGGTCCCATACTAATTTTGTTTAGATCCGATAACTGGATCGTTAAGAAATTAACGATAATCCTAAATTTTTATGAGAATTGAAGTCGGTTTTGTTTTTGCTTAAAAGTTACTTGTTAGTATGGGTATTCATGGAAACTCGTAAATGCCTTGTAACCGCGTAAGCCTCATAAATAAACCGAATTTCCATACAAAATAAAGTACGTTCCCACGACAGTCGGGTCTACGTAACCGGAACGACCCAGATTTATATCTGGCCAAGGACTGTCACTCCAGCAACACTCCCCAAAAAGTCTTTGGGGAATTTGTATGCTGCTACAACAACAACAACAACAAAATAAAGTAAGCTTTCGGGGTTTACATGGTTACGAGGCATTTACACGTTTTCATGAACTGCCCTATTATATTTTTATTTGAGATAGGACGTTTTTTAACCGAATTCTCAAATAGGGCGTTCTTCAATCAAATTCTGAAGTAGGGCGTTCTTGAAAAGTTTTCTGAGATAGGGCGTTTCGGCAGATGGGTCGATCTTCCACACAGGTATCGATATGTTGTAGCTCAGGAATGGCCAACGACGGCAGAACTCCATAAGCAAGTGCCCTGCGCTGGCAGAATTCTATAGGCAAGTGCCTTGCGCTGGGCATGCCTGTTGTAGACAAAACTAAACAATCATGGCGCATACTAGTATGCATAGTAACAAATAAATAAGCGATAATTGCATTTGTACTTACTTGGCCTTGCTGGTCCACTGCAACAAATCCGCTCGGAAAAACCTCAAATTCATTAAGAGATTTCGTATGTATAATTTTTCCAAAGAAAACTTTAGCCATTTTCAACCTTTGAAGAGGTAAGAACACCTGTTGATATAAACTATTATAAATCAAACTTATAACAGATTCACGTTCAGCTCGTGTAATGCAGATTACTGACTGCCTATTTGTAAATATGGTGAGAGCTTTCCAGTTGTTGCATATGTCCTCTGTAGATAGTACATGTACTTAAAAGATAAGAAATGATTGCACTCAGTTGTATATACATGTGTATATGCATATGGGCTAATGCAGCGTTTTTGCTGCATTTGAAATGCAACATTTAGCACTTTCGAACATGTGCTCAGTATATCCAGTAAAAAAACTGTGGTGAAGTCCTTTATGGGGATAAAGTTTCCAGAGGTGAAATTTTAGGTAGTACACAATTTCTTACACGCATGGTTGCTTTTCAGCACTCATGAAAGAATCTTAAGAAATGTTTGAAAAAAATGTTCATATAGTACATAAATTTTTGAAATAAATACCATATAGTGTATGTACTCTGGTTAATAATATCAAAAAATGTATTAGAACCACCGTTTAATGTTATATTTGATACAAATTAATATTGCTGGCCCGAACGCTCTGCGCCTTGCCACTGAATAAAAGATTTACTTAAACTTACATCCCTGGTCCTTGTTCTTTCTGTATCGCATCGTGGTGAATTCACATTTCTCAGAAATTTGACAACAAAACAAAACAAAGCGAGTATTTTATTTGCTAATTTTTGCGATTTCTATTGTTTAATGTAAATTTTATCTTTTTAGGATATGACGAGCGAACAAAGAAGGCGCAGTTGGAAAATTTAGTAATTAGTAATGAAGTAGCAGGCATATTTGGAAAATTATGCCGATAAACAGGATGGAATTTGGGGAAAGTAAGTGCATGGTTGCAGCATATCTATGTATAAAAAGTATTTAATTAAATTGTTTATAGAAATGATATAAATCGAGTGGCTCATTTACGATGTGCTCCAAACATTTGGCGAACTTTTTTTCGCCTTTTCAACGTGCTAAGTAACAAGTTCAGATGACTGCCATCATGGGCCGGTAAGAAACCGCAAGCAAAGGGCAGACAACCTTCCAGGAAGCTGCCTCCTGTCCCCGAGCCGAAGCTGCAGGTCAGCAAATTGCTACCATGATCAAACGTAAACTAAAGCGCTCTGCTGTGATTGCACTCCGTAAATGTGAAAACTTGGTGCATGCTGAGAAATATCAAACAAGAAAACTCGGTGATGGACGCCGTGAGATGGAGTAACGCAGTGTGGCAAAGAAATGCGGCCGATTCGACGGGCCTGAAAAATCCAAATTGGCTTTTGTGATCCGCATCCGCGGATCTGTTCTGTTCTGTCTTCGCCACATTAAAACGATGTGTTCATCAAATTGAGCAAGGCAACCATTAATATGCTACGTATGCCGAAGCCCCTATATGGGGTTATCCAAATCTTAAATCAGTTTGTGAATTGATGTACAAACGTGGAATGGTCAAGCGTGTTCCAATCTCTGCTTTGTGATCGAACGCAAATTTCGCGAAGCGCACGAAATTCAGTGCGTTGATTCACTTCACTTCAAGAAAGCCCCAACTTCCTGTTGCTATTCAAGCTCAAAACATCAACCCGAGGCTGGCACAAGAAGGCTAATCACTACGTTGAGGTTGGTGATTTCGGTAGCCGTGAGGATAAGATCAACAAATTGCTGCACAAGATGGCTTAAAGAAATTTTTGTTTTGTATTTAAGTAGACAATATAATTTGGCACATCTTCAAAAGACGCCCAAGCAAAAAAAAAAGAAAATTAAAAAATTCCTGAAGTTGCCTTTTCACGGGTCGATTTCTGTCGACTGGAAAATTTACTTAAGATATCGACTAGCCAAAACGCTTCCTTTTTACGGTTGAATCGCAATTTACACGGGTAGGTTTTGGTTAAACGACAAAAATCGACCGTGTAAAGGCAGCTTAAATAACGTTCAAATTAATCACCCCCTTTGAGATGGAAAATACCAATAACCATTTCATAATTTCGAAAATTATTCCATTTATATTTGTTCTTGCATTTTCCACACCACTTGTGAGGTATGCTTTTACGCGCGTTACCGATTTTTTTTTAATGTGCTCGGTTGCCCAGGAGGCCTATTTTCACCTTTACAACTTAACTTAAACAGAATTAAAACTAAAGCATGCAATATATAAAGAAAATTAAAAGTTGTCTTACATCTAATAAACTTAAAAAATTGCACATTAAATTCATTTTTCATTGTAAAATAAAATTAAATATCACAATTCAGTTTACAAAATGTGGTCTGTTTGCACCCACAGTAAGTTCCCATGAAGCCTAGCCTAAATTCAGAATTGAAAAAAAAGAGCAAATGGGGTCGGAAACTACTAGCCCTAAAAGCATAATGTGGAAAATGTTTGAAGAGCTGCGAAATTGTATTGCAATAATAAAAATAACAGTGCATAAATTGGAAAAAATGGTTTTTGTTTTGCTTTATAATTTTTGGGAATATTGGTTCAGATGGAATTTTTTTATTTGTTTGGTTTTTCAGCTCGTTAATGATGCACCCAGGGTTGCATTTAGTGTTTATGAAAATATTTCGTGAAGCGTTCCAAAACTAGCTCCGAGCAACTAAAAGTTGGTTTAGCTTAAATGAAATAGTTTTTTATTAAATATTTATTCCTGGTATTTAGTAAAAAACATCAATACTAATGTATGAAAACCAAAACATCAATGCTAATGTATGAAATGAAGTAAATAAAAATCTACGAATACATTGCATGAATATTTTGTCATAGAGCCATTATTAAATTTAGACATAACTTTGTCAGGCGTTGGTACCTACGTATATAGAATTAATGCGTTGGAGAGAGATAAATATACAAGTTCAACGCGCTAATTTAGGTATCCTTGTATGTATATACCTGTTACTCGTCTGGCATAAAATGCGAAAATAATGACAATTATAATTTATGTAGATCCCTGGATAAAAGATTGTCACAAGTTACTTTCGGTAATTCACGATTGAAGTTTGGAATGCAATTTCTCAGAAACACGACTACAGATTTTCTCCAAAGTTTCGGAGAATGCTATGTACTAGTTCATGAAATTCTTAAATTATCTTATTTTTTTTAGTTTAGTGTCAACCATTTATGAGTTTAATAAAACTTTGTCGTATACGACATTTGTCAAAAAATTTGCAGTCAGTTTTAGTGATATACGCCAAAATGTGATAACAATTTTTATAAATCAACCATACTTTTTACTAATCAGCCTAATCGTGAGTTTCGCCCGAACAAAATTTCGGCAACAATTTTTTCATCCACCTGTAGTGAACACACGCAAACGAAAAGTGACCCGGTTCTAGAAAATGAAACTCATGATAAAGCTGAATATGTCGGAAACTAAAGAAGAACAGATAACTCTATTTGAAAGATCTTGATTAGTTTAGTACGACAACAATACTAACGCAATTTGTACCAAATAACCGAAAAAAATTTTAGTCAATTAGTCGGAAACTAAAGAAGATATCCAAAAACCACAAATTGTCAAAATGACGCTTCCGGCAATTTTGCATCCAGGCGACGATATTTGAATAGGTTTGTATAGTTACCAATAGTCAGTACTAATTTGTACTGGAACCTGCAAACTTTTACTGGAAAAGTGTATGATAACCCAAAAAATTTGCAAGAGAGCACTGAATCGAGAGCGTAACAACACGAGAGAGCTGCAAATTCTTGCTAGTGAAATTTTTACTAGCAGAAATTAGCTAGCAGAAGAAGAAGAAGAATAAATGTCAAAAGAATATATATAAAGTGGTGTTACTAGCTCAGTTGATTTTGTGTATGTGTTTCGCCGCACGGCTTCTGATATCAAATTGAAAAA